AAAATTGGATGATGTTAAAGTCAGGTGACAAATCATGGATTTTGAAAACTTAAGGTGACATTTTGCTTAAATTTTTCTTTAAGGTGACAAATAGAAACTGATATATAAGTTCATGTGACATTTCTACAAAAATCCCTTAAATTAATGATGTTTAAAAAAAAAATCATATGTTAATGTTTTTTTTAGGATAAGCGATTGAGGGAGGGGGGCTTACACAAATATTTATTGGGTGCCTAGGGTTTCAAACTTGTACTTGTATGGGTGGAGGTTGAAGAGCTCAACGAACTTAGCTTTACTCCACTGACTATGTTATTGTTGATAATTCAAACAAAAAATGTAAATTAGCTTGGGATTCTGAAACATATGAAGAATTAAGTTTCAAAACATATAACTCATAGAGAGTTAATAACAAACAAAAATAACGAATTATATGGAAATTAGAGAAACAAAGATTTCAATAAAACCCAACATGCTTGAAAGGTTCATATTTAAATAGAGGTCTTGCAGAGACTTCATTTCACTACCTTCTTCATTTTTTTTTTATTGCTGCATTTTAGTGCATGCATTCATGCAAGCATGCAGATCTATATAACCAACAAGTTAGGGGGTGGACAAAGCATGAAGATTCACTGCAGATATGGAGACAATGATTGGCTTGCAAATTTTGGCAGATAGACAAGAAACTACTTGGAGCTCCATATGATAAATACATGGAGTATATATGATTTAACAACCTAAACAATGATAAAGTTTTATATTATTTTTCATAGAGATGGGCCATTTACATTGAGTTAAAAAATAATTATATTGTTTATGACTCACTAAACTATGAAGCATAATTGGAATTCAAATTTTATAGAGACCTCCTCAAATAACTTTTGTGGGTTTTTAGCTAAATTTTAACTGAAAAATAGGGAGCATTAAAGTCCAAGCCCATTACTTGGAGTTCTTCCATATGAATAAGCAAATGAGATACTTTATGGCGCCTCCTGTTACGAGCGAGAAACAAGCTATTTATGCCACTCCTATTACCCACTGGAAACAAGCTGTTCCCAGTACTTCCTTTTACCTGGTCGAAGGAATATGTTTTCCGCACTTCCTTTTACCCATAGGAAATAATTAATTTTCTGATACCTAGTTTTACCTACTGAAAATAAGCATGTCTCAGTGCTCCTTTTTACTCGTTGGAAATACACTGGTTCCAACACCTCTTTTTACCTATTGGAAATAAGGGAAGATCCTCGCCTTATATAATTTGGCATTCATGACCCAGGCAAAGGGACCCTTCTCTAGGTTGCTACAAGCATCCAAGCAACCATTGACCCCTTTCCCTTGGCTACTGCAAGCATCCCATCCATAACCTCCTCAAACGTTTCTCTCACCTTTCTATCCTTGAAATCCTTCTTCCCTATAAAGCCCAGACAGAAGCATAACCCCAAGCCTTTACTT